CCTCTCTGCATTCTTCATCTCTTTTTCTCTCTATCAATCTCTCTTTGTCTTTTGTAACAGTATCCCTCTCGGTCCTGCCGCACTACTTTGTTTCTTTCCATGTTACATCTTCCTCTCTTATCCTCCCTCCGAACACGGTGTTGATCGATGAGCAAGAGCGACCCTCCCGCGCATCGGCGACCCGTCCTTTATGTCGCACGCTGCGATGGCGAGGAGGACCGTGATGTCAGTACGAGAGAGATCTTCGAGACGGACTGAGAGAGAGAAAAAGAACATCGATTTCGCGCGATTCTCACGGCGATCGACGTTTTTGACAAGTGTAAATGTTGTGTGACGCGAACGTCGTTCGTTCTCCGGCGTTCTCGCGACGAACACGAAGACGTTCTGATCGTCTGTTAACGCGATCGTCTGTTGAAGACTAATTGAACCGACGCGCGACGCACGAACGGACGACGTTCTCGATCGCGATTCTTGTGTCCACTTTGCGCGCGCGACTATTTTCACTGTGATGTGTGAGGTAAATTGAGAGTACATATAACTCTGTACATCCGAAAATATCGGCGTCATCCAAGCGGAGCATGATTAACCGAAGCTTTAGAGCTCCAAGATTCCTCGTGGGAATAATCTCGGCGAGAATCGCGAAAGCTCGTTAATCATGCTTGATTTGAATCGCGAAACTGGCTCGTTGCTTGCTGCAACCTCGTTACGAGCGCTCTCTTCGACCGTCTCGTTTTCGGCGGAGGGTCCATCGACAGCTCTCAACGTTGGCCCGTGCGTGGAGGTCGCTCGTACGGAGAGAGGTTGTCGTCGAGTATTGTCGTCGAACTTTGTTCCGGTCCAAACACGGCGATTTATAACGCGACGATTTGAAACGACGAGAGGTTGCCGCCGATCGAAACGAATAGAGAAACATGAACAGAATCGGACGAGCACACTTGTGCGAATTGTGGTTGTGCGAATACGTAAAAGCCGTCATTGACGGGACGAGAAGACGATCACGACCACGTAGACGGAAGCTAATATATGTCATCCAAACGCGAGAGACTTTTCGGCAATTTCAATCACGATTGAGGACCAAATTCCTTTCTACCGTACGATGTGTATTGTATATCTCATCGGCATGCGATCATCTCGTCACGGATCTCCGGAAGCTTTGCGAAGGGAGAAAGAGGCGATCTCTCCACTTGTCCGTAACCGGTTACAAAGCACTCGCGATCGCGATCTGCGAAGTCTCGGCGATTTTGCTTTCTTGTGTCGCAATCACGCACGGGGTGGCGTTTGATTTGTAAAACCGTAATTATCCGTAATTATCCCGGACGCGCAAAATGCGACAATTCCAGTCGTGAAATATTTGGACGTTTCACGACTGGAACCACAGTTGAACAACCACTATCACCACCACCATCACCACCACCACCACCACCACCACCACCACCACCACCACCATCACCACCATCACCACCATCACCATCACCACCATCACCACCACCACTACCACTACCGGCGCGTCTGACCGAGCTATCGGCAATATATATGTATAGTTTAATCGTAATTTAGTACGTTTAATAGAAAGTAATCTCGAGGAATATATAAAGCTATAGATTATAAAAAGATAAGAGTTATATTATATTATTACAATGGGCAATTATGATAATTAGGAAGTAAGAGGAGAGGAAAACGTATTGTGATATCTTTTTATATTGTACATTGTAGTGTTGCAGTTTTAATTGACTAACTTATTTCGACTTCTAATCACGATTGGACATCGTTTGTTTCGAATACAGACGCGGACGCGCATAGAGGCATATGTCAGCGGGGGGTTTTGTATTATATTTGTCGGTCGAATTGATAAGAGATATTACTTCCGCTCGCGCACAGGCGATAATATTATACTTTATTGTGTACAGTACGCGCGTACAATTCTTCAGGCGAAGGCGAGGGTGAGGATCCTCCCGCAAGGATGTTCATTTGTAAAGCAGAATTGCGAATTTGTATGCGTATTCCGGTTTTAAGTTCTGGAATACCTTTTATAAGGAGATATTTAATGCGCGAGAATGAACAGAGAGAGAGCTTTTTCCTACAACGAGATCGCTATTACCTTACACGATACGCTCTTATCAGTATCATGTCAGGTAAGTTACCGACTGTAATATTTAGTATACTTGTATACTAGCGCGTATTTGTACTCTAGTGCACGACGGATGCTGGCAAGACGATTACACGCTCGAGTCCTTACGCTCTTCAATGCTTTGTAACCGGTCGTGAACGATTGCTGGGCCGCCGTTTTAGCAATACAATAGTCAGCGGTTGGGTCGAGTGCAACACCGGCAGGCGAACTCGACTATCGTGCGCGAGGTCGCCGTCACATTTTATACGCGATGCCGTCTTTTAGACACAAGCCCGACAGTAAGCACCTTCGTTACTTCACTCTTGACGATCTCCCGTCGCACGATCCAGTAGACAATTTTTCCCATCCCCGGGTGACAATTAGCATGTTACTGATCATTGTTCAACCGCTATCTACGGAGGAGAATATATATATATATATATATATATATATATATATATAGAGGCAAGAGATATTAGCGAGCAGTACGGAAACTGTACGAAAAAACGATTCGACGGAATAATATTAGATTTTAAATATGTGTGCGTATGTGTGCGCGGGGAGGGAGGGCGGGAGGAGTTTAGCTTTTCAGCGACATTCTCGTTGTCATCCTGTACGATATCGCGCAGCGATCTGAAATTATCATAATGTATAAGTCCGTCGAACTTCCCTGAGATGTATCATTAATCATGAATTATATATGTATATAATATTTGTCAAGGGAGACTTCTCGTGTCTCGAGAGCATCGTTCCCTTCACGAGGTCGACGCAAACGCTATCTTTCGAGAATCGCGGATCGCACAAACGCGCGCGACCGATTAACTCTTCAGCAGGAGATCAGAGAAACGCGAAAGATGGCTATTCCGATCGCTTTCTCTCTCTCTCTCTCTCTCTCTCTCTCTCTCTCTCTCTCTCTCTCTCTCTCTCCCCCCTCCCTCCCTCTCTCTCCCTCTCTCTCTCTCTCTCTCTCTCTCTCTCTCTCTCATTCTCCACTTTTAAATATCAGAGGACACTTCAACGCGCAGTGTTCAGTCCAAGTCCAAGATGTTCCGCGTCCTTCGGATGTTTATCGAATCTGTCCTTTGGGCACACCTTCCACGCTTCCTCCTTTTCCGTATTTTTTTCTTTTCCGTTTTTTAAAGCGCAAGCGTGTGCGATGGTTGTGTTTGACTTGAGACTTGGGAAGCGTGAAGGAGAAGCACGTTTATTGAGGAGCAGAGCCGAGCGATTGGGCGCGTGAGACGTGATGACTATCGACACGACACTACACGATTCGATTTTTGAGTTTCTTTGATCCTGTCGAACAGGCGACATCGGCAAATCGGAGTACCGTGATTCCTCTCGACGGGATCTTATGTTATATATACGCCCTTGTACATGTATATCGCTAAGTTCTTAAATGTATGTATTTGGACTTAACCATTATGTCGTCCTTCTTATCCTTTATCTAAGAATCTATATATATCTCGAGAGAAAGAGAGAGAGAGAGAGAGAGAGAGAGAGAGAGAGAGAGAGAGAGAGAGAGAGAGAGAGAGAGAGAGAGAGAGAGAGAGACGCCTATATGGAAGCGAGCGAATGTAAGAAAGGAACAAAACAAAAAAAAACGTCCTCATCGCAGGAGCGTGCGCGCGCACTTTCACTGTATTAGCGAATGACTCGGATGAACGATTGAAGAGACGCAACGGCGAACTTTGTCCATGACCGGGGCTGCGCGACGTTCTCCAGCGCTCAACTGCGAAGCGTGAGACCGCTGGTGAAAGGATCGAGAGCGGATTTCGAGATAGTGGTTAAGCACCGTCTACGAGTTTACACGTTGCGATCGAGAGGGAGCGATCCCCGAAATCGATCACGGTCGAAGGGCGCGAACGAGAGAACATAACGTAGATATATATATATATATATATATATATAAAAGAAATAATCGACTCGCACGTGGTTCTTCATGCAGATCCGAGGAGTCGCGATCGAGGGCTGATTGCGTGCGTATGTGTGTGCGTGCGTAGTCGACGATTCGCTCGAGCAGCACGCATCTCGTATTCGGAGCGACGTCCTTTCCCGGCCCTCTCTTCTCCCTTGTAATTAACTTACACATACGCATACTCTCCCTTTCTCTCTCTTTCTCTCTCTCTCTCTCTCTCTCTCTCTCTCTCTCTCTCTCTCTCTCTCTCTCTTTCTCTCACACTCTCTCATTGTAACACTGTTCACGGACTGTAAAGCTCGCGGCTGACCTCACGTAATCTTCGAACTCACACATGTGTGTGTGTGATTATCGACATAATTATAGATACCTATTACGAGTATAGCATTCAGTAGCATAAATAATGCCGATAAAGTAATTAAATAAATGTCATCTATCCTGTACACCAAATCTTGTGTTATACGTTCTCGACGTTAATCTCGGCGAGGGTGCTCGCGAATTCCAACGCAGATCCCGAGATCTTCTCCGCCACTCGCAGGTAAGTGAGCTTCACAGGTAAGTGACGCTATCGGCTCGAGATAGTACGGTGAAATGTCTTCGGTAGGTCTTCGATATTGTTTAAGGAAAACATATTTATAACGCATCAGAAGCACCGAAGTCGAGAGTTTTTAATTCCTGATTCGGCAGCTCTTACCTGGAAGCAAATTCGACTTGGCGATAACGCGGTGGAAAGTACCCGCGAGAAAAATTTGCTTTTCTTGCGGCGATGTGTGCGAAAATGGCAAACTCTTCTGTCATAGGAAAAAGGAAAGAGACGTCACTCACACGACTTAGAAATTGTCATTCTTACATTGTGCGTCTCCTCGATACTTGACCGCGGCAGGAGAGCGTCTCTCGTTCCCCTCATAGTCGGAAGGACTCATTTTCTCTCGAACATTCTAATTGCTACTTTTCACGTATAAAGAACGGGTGCGTGTAAAAAAAACCTTTCCGCGTCAGCAGTGACGCGGGATGTAAGTGTCGCCGTGTCAAAATGTGCGCGGGTGTCAATCATCGCGAGGAGTGACACGCGCGATTGCCGCGCTCGAGATATTATTTCGGATGTGCTGCATATAGTCCGCTATTCGCGCGAATTATCGATTCAGTCGATCGCGTGTTCTGGACTACGTAGTATTTCCACGAAAAGCATGGAAGCCTCCTGGAGTCATTATTACGGTATCATTCAAAACTTATCGCTACTCACCGGCATGTGGCCGTACCTGAAGCCGAGAACGAGGTTGCTCCGCGTGGTCCTGTTGACCACGATCGTCCTGACTATATTCGTTCCGCAGGTAATTTTAGGGACGCGATTGAGTGGTCGACGGAACAGCTTGTCGCAAAAGGTTGACGCGATATTTCCAGATAGCGCATCAATTCACGTGCAAGCAGGACCTTCAATGTATTTTCGAATCAATGACGTCGTGCCTGTTGACGAGCGTCGGTATGGTGAAGGTGTGGTCGTTTCAATTGAATATTCGTCAAGTACGTTTCGTGACAGACGCGACGGAGTATTCAGCTTCGACAGAGAGAGAGAGAGAGAGAGAGAGAATCGCCTGTTCGCATGAGGACATATATTTAATGATCCAAATAGCACAAGACATCCCAGCATTATCCTAAACGCATTCGAAATTCCTTCGAAGATCCCAGGATGTCTCGAGTGGGATCAGAATTGCTTCGGGACATCTTATGCTACATGGGATATGTTCTCTCGGGTTCTCTCTTATCCCTCCCCCGCCCCTTGACATTTATCTGTTTCGTCGGATCGTGAAGTAGTGTGCGATTGATCGACGTTTTGCCAGATTAAGAGCTTCACCGAACACTTGTTCGTCGACTGGAAGGAACTGGAGACGCCTCAGGAGTACGAAATCATGAGGTCGTACGCCGAGAACTGCAGACGATTCTCCTTGCTATATCCGGGTGAGTTTTGATAAATACCCCGCAGGATCCTCTTTCTACCTCGTGATACGCTCTCGTTGCAGTGTACTGCTTCTCGGCGGTGTACATTTTCATGTCGGTGTCTATTGTACCACCTATACTCGACATTGTATCACCGCTTAACGAATCCCGGCCTGTACTGCTGCCGTACCCGGGATACTACTTTGTGGACAGTAGGAAATATTTCTTTTATATTTTTGGCCACTCCATCTTCAGCTGGGAGATGGTCATGGCCGGAATAGTAGCGCATGATTGCATGTTCGTGAGTTACGTCGAGCATCTGTGCAGTATGTTCGCGGTGGTCGGGTAAGGAGATCGTTTCAAGGTGTGAGTAAACACATGTTCAACGTGCATTCGCTCGATTTATTCAAGCGGCAAAGTCGAATTACTCGTAGATCTCGTTTCGAAGATCTATTTCGTAATTCTGACGATGCAGTGGAAGACGCGAAAGGAAATCTAGACGATGTTTATCGCAAGAAGATCGCGCTCTTCGTCCACACACATCGGAAAACCTTGAAGTAAGTACCTGGAACTGACGAGGATGCAACGAGGTTTGCTTGGAAGAATAAACGAGTACATGCGGGAACATCTGGAAATGATAAGATTCAATTAGATTAGTCTCTCTTCTCTTTGTTCACTGCGACAGGTTCGCGCAGACTCTCGAAAGTACCTTCACCGTACCCTTTGCTGTGCAATTACTCATAATTATTGGCACGATGAGCTGCACCCTGTTGCAGGTACTGATGCGTTAGAAAATCTTTTCTGAATTTGCGAAAGAGAGAAACTAAAGCACCACTTTCCTTTGTACTCGAGATCACGCAGCAGGAGGCCGGCATGTTGGAACTAATAAGGTACATATTGTACGTCATCGGTCAACTGTTTCATTTGTTCTGCCTCAGTTTCGAGGGCCAGAAGCTGATCGACCACAGCCTTCGGATGCGCGACAAGATGTAAGACGATCGTCTTATTAAGTCAATCGGAAAGTTTCGTCCGTTTTTTTTTTGCAAAACTTATGGCTTTATTTCAGAAATAAAATGCAAAAGTACATCAATCGAAATATTGTCCATCGTTAGCGATGACTTTTCTCCATCTTTCGGTCAGCAAGCGAATTCCGCGGCGAAAGAATGACTCGTCTTTGGAGGCTATCCAGTCAGAGACCCATTTTTCGACGTCTTCATAAAAATTGAAGCATTCGTCAGCAAGTGCGTGTGCCATCGGCCGAAACAAGTAGTAGTCGGAAGGGGCACAGTTTGGTGAATAAGAAGCCGCATGGGGTAACACTTCCCAGCGAAGTGCTTCTAACGTTTCCTTGACAGATTTTGTGACGTGAGGCCGAGCGTTGTCATGAAGCAAAATCACTTTATGCTGTCTCGTTTCATATTCTAGTCGTTTTTCGTGCAATGCTCGGCTCAAACGGATCATTTGTTCTCTGTAGAGTTCCCCTGTGACTGTTTGACCACTTTTCAACAGCTTGTGGTACAACACACCCTTCTGATCCCACCAAATACAGAGCCTTCTTTCCGTGGATATATTCCGCTTTGGCGTCGATGTTCGGGGTTGGCCGAGTTCGTAAATATTATAGTTTCTCGACGTTTGGGGTTGTCAAAATAAATCCATTTTTCATCCCCAGTGATGATACGATGTAAAAACCCCTTTTCTTTGCGAGCAGCTAGCAAGCAGAATTTCGCAGATGGTTTTTCGCCTTTCAATGTCTCTTGGCTTCAGTTCATATGGGACCCATTTTCCTTCCTTGTAAACCTTTCCTAAGGCTTTCAAACGATCGGAAATGACAGATTGAGCACAATTTAATGCTTCTGCAAGTTGTATTTGCGTTTGACATGGGTCTTCGTCCACCACTGCCTGCAATTCTTCGTCTTCGAATACTCTTGGCCGTCCAGAACGCTCTTTGTCCTCTACATCAAAATCACCACTTTTAAAGCGCCGAAACCATTCTCTGCATGTTTTATCGGAAGGAGCATTATCACCATAAACCTTCTACAAGCATTCGATGAGCTTCAGCTGCAGTTTTCTTCAAATTGAAGCAAAAGATTAACACTTCGCGCAAATGACGCTTATTTGGCTCAAATTTCGATATTTTTGATGCAGTAAAAAATAATGTTATTGATGCAAACGTATACTTTTATATACTGAACGTTATTGACAGATATCAAAACAAATCATTAAGCTTCGTTTAGATATTAGAGATTAACGATAGTTCTAGCTATAGCTACTTGCCGCTAGATGGACGGAACTTTCCGATTTACCTAATATTACTGTGATCAAAAAGTATCCGAAGTTTATTTTTAAAAATCAAAATTACAATCATCAAAATTCTTATAGTCTCCTTCAAAGTAGTCCCCATTGCTTGCAGCGCACATATGCCAGCGCACATTTGATCCAGTCCTGAAAACATCGCTCATATGCGGCAGACGGTATGGCCTTCAATTCACGCAGCGATTTTCCTTTCATGTCCTCAATCGATTCGAAACGCTGTCCGCGAAGTGGACAGTAGATTTTTTCAGTAGGGGGAACAAGAAAAAATCGCAGGGGGCCATGTCTGGTGAATACGGTGCTTGCGGAGCGACATTCGTTGAGATTTTGGAGAAAATCCAGGTTTTTCGGAATCAAACGCGATGCCGTTTTATATCCAGTACCAGGTCTGTAAATATGAAACCGGAACTTGCCCATAGATGGCCCTAGCTGTCAATGTTGTTACCGTTAAACCGCGTCATTGGCGCCATTTGTTGATATCTGACAAAGATTTTCAACTCACAACAATACAAGTTTCATACAACAGCATAGTTTGTAATAGCGTTGAATATGTCGAATTTTGTGCCTGGGAGCTGCGATTTGCGAACAGCATTGATTTTCTGTTACCATTTGAAGAAAACTGCTGCAGAATCGCATCGAATGTTTGTCGAAGCTTACGGTCAGCATGCTCTTGGTAAATCACAGTGCTTTGAGTGGTTTAAAAAATTCAAACGTGGCGATTTTGACGTGAGAAACGAAGAACGTGGAAGACCACCGAAAAAGTTTGAAGACAGCGAATTGCAAGCATTGTTGGATGAGGATGACGCTCAAACGCAACAACAACTCGCGGATCAATTAAATGTGACACGAGAAGTCGTCTCCATACGTTTGAAAGCCATGGGAAAGATCCAGAAGATGGGAAAATGGGTTCCACATGAACTGAATGAAAGACAGCAGGAAAACCGAAAAACCACTTGCGAAATGCTGCTCGCCAGGTACAAAAGAAAGTCATTTCTCCATCGAATTGTGACTGGCGATGAAAAGTGGATATATTTTGAGAATCCTAAGCGTAAAAGGTCATGGGTAACTCCAGGCGAACCGTCGACATCGACTGCAAGGCCAAATCGCTATGTGCGGAAGACAATGCTCTGTGTTTGGTGGGATCAGAAGGGTGTGATCTATTATGAGCTGCTAAAACCTGGCGAAACCGTTCATACTGAACGCTACCGACAACAAATGATCGATTTGAATCAAGCTTTGCGTGAAAAACGACCAGAATATCAAAAAAGGCAACACAAAGTGATTTTGCTTCATGATAATGCACCATCACACACAGCAAAACTGGTCAAGGAAACGGTTGAGGTGTTTGGTTGGGAAATACTTTCGCATGCGGCTTACTCACCAGACTTGGTTCCGTCCGATTACTACTTATTTGCATCGATGGAACACGCACTTGCTGAGCAGCGCTTCACTTCTTACGAAAATGTACGAAAATGACCCGATGACTGGTTTGCCTCAAAAGAGCAACAGCTTTTTTGCCGTGGCATCCACAAATTGTCAGACAGGTGGGAAAAATGTATAGCTAGCGATGGGCAATACTTCGAATAAAATATTTTTTATCATTTTCATACAATAAACGTGTATTTTCTATGAAAAAATTCCAGTTTCCTATTTACATACCTGGTATATTGGACAAAATGTGCTGGCACGATCCAAATTCCAAAATGATATTCCAACTTCATCTGCTATCTCTCGCACAGTCAATCGACGGTTTTGGAGCACCAATTCTTTCACTTTCTCAATGTGAGCGTCATCCGGTGACGTTGATGGTTTTCCAGAGCGTGGGTCGTCTTCAACGGATTCTCGCCCTTCTTGGAACTTCTTAAACCACTCAAATGTACTCGTTTTCGATAAACAATCATCGCCATAAGCTTTCTGCAACATTTCGAATGCGTTTGTGAACGAAATCTTGTTCGCAACACAATTTCAAAGAAATTCTTTGCTCCATATTTTTCGACATCGTAAAAATTGCCATGCACAACAATCTTCAATGACATAAACAACTGCCACTTTCAAACGGCTTGAAGGAACACCATGATTTTTTCACCAAATGTGAAGGACGTGTGTACCAACTTAAGAAAGCAAACGGATTTGATTTATAGTTTACCCGCGATTTTTAAAAAATAAAATTTGGATACTTTTTGATCACACTAGTATAGCTTGCCTCGAAACTACCTGATTTCTAGCACCTGCCGAACTTACATCGCGCGCACCTTCGAAACATTACAGATACAATAGCTTGTGGTACAAGGCACCGTTGAAGTCACGGAAGCTCCTTATATTAACGATGATGCAGAGTCTTCGGCCGACTGTCTTGAGCGCGGGCAAAGTTTACATATTCTCTCTGGAGAGCTTCACTACGGTAAAATATGCAGCATCACAGACCATTGACATTCGGACGTTCCGTCGCGCATAATGACAAAATGTCCCTGTCTTTTCAAGGTTTTACAAACTTCGATGTCTTATTTTACGGTACTCTCCACCTTTCAATAACAGCGATATTCCATCAGAATTGTTCTATCGATTTTTAACTTGTATTAAACCAAAATAAAACAATATAAATTTTTTAACATTATATATTAGCCGAGAGGATATACTTTACCGACTTGCCAAGTTATCCATGTTACGGACAATACGGACTGCATTTCCTATTATATTATTCTCAATAGGCACGAGGGAGGAGGGTCTATCTTGCAAAAGCTAGAGAGGTGGTTTTTGAACATGAATAGGAGAGTATTACATAGAAAAAGAAACATAATTGTGTGTTAAAGCTAACCACTCTTGCAGTTTTTTATCCACTACCAGCTCTTTTGCCTTCATGTATCCTCTCATCCGTATTCCTAGGAAGAAGTGGTTATACTTCAATTACACGCATAAATACAGCACGTTTAATAATACAAAAACTTCGATAGGGATACACTCTCAACTTAACAACACTATATGTTACATGATATCCTATCATAGCAATTGCGATATCCGTTATTCCGTGACAACGCAAATTATAGAACCTGACAGCGTGTTTTATGCGAAATGAAGCGGTTTGCTTAACAAAAGCTATCCATTCACATCTATGTAACACGTATGCAAGACGTATAATTACGCGGCATCTATTTAGTTATGACAACCCGTGCTATGTAGTACGTATCGGGCAAGGAAGGGAAGCGACATCATAAAATATTTATTTTCCGTGGCGAGAATTCTAAGGGGAAAGCTTGACATTCAAATGAGCGTGAAACGTGAAAGAACAACAGTCTCCTTAGGAAATATGGATCCTATTCGAACCAGTAGCAATTATGAATATTACAAGCTGTGTAGAAAACTTTTGCTACTCACTGGTCTGTGGCCTTATGACAAGCTCAGAAACAGGCTGCTTCATATGGGTGTTATCATTGTATATGATATTTCTATTATGTTTGTGCAGGTAACATTAATTTACGTAACAAGTCCCGCGAGAATCAATGGTGAACGATCGTTGAGATTTTGGGTTAAAGTGATCGAAGTCTCATGTTCGAATTTAATTCGGTATACGATCTTCTTAGTCTCTCGGATAGACATCCATCATCTCGAAAAATCCTAATCGGAAACCTAATTAATTTTCTAGATAGCAAACTATTTCGTCTGCGACACAATACAGTGCATTTTTAAAACTTTACCTATGAACATAATGACGGTAATAGTGTTGGTGAAGTTACTCACGTACCATTTTAATAGGCAGAAGGTACATTAGTTCTAATCTACAGATACAAGTAACTTCTGTGAGCGAAACTTTCAGTTGAAACTTGACGGCGGTTAATCTCATTGCGTAAGCATTGAAAATATATTTGTGATATCTTGAATACATTGATGACACTTGTAGATTAAAGACCTCTTAGAACACTTGCACTCAGATTGGAATGCACTCTGTTACGAAGAAGAATTTGTTATCATGAGGAAGTACGCTGAAACTGGTAGATCCTACTCGTTTTACTATGCCAGTAAGAATTTCTTATTTAATAAATGATAGTTATAGAAACACATTTTTTGCGGTATTATGAAAGAGATAAAGCGAGTTGTGATGTGAAATATACTTGATCGTTGTAGAATCTGTTTAATGAATAGGAAAATAAAAGCAGCATCTTCGTTGTTTCGTAATAAGACCTTTTGTAGCAAGCATATATTCGATTACCTTTATATTCGGATGCGTGGTTCTCGTGCCACGTTTCATGGACGTTGTGTCTCCTTTGAATGAAAGTCGTCCGATAATGATGCCGTGTCCGGTAAACTACTTCGTCGACGAGGAAGAATATTTTTATTATATCTTTGTCCATCTGATAATCGGTGCTTTTGTATGTATTACCGGATTGCTCGCGCATGACTGCAATTTCTTCACTTTCACCGAGCACGTTTGCGGCCTCTTCGAAATTGTGGGGTATTGAATATTTATTTTGAACTTGTATGTTTCTTGTCCACATAAATGACAATTTTGTTTTTCGTAACGTAGCACATCAACCCATTAATATAAATACTAATGTTTGCAGCTTCAGACTCGAAAATTTATTATATAAACGAAATATTACGGAAAAGAATATGATCGAGCTTTCGGATGACGTGTATGTAAAAAATATCGAGTTTTCCATTCAAGCTCATCGGCGGGCCCTGCAGTAAGTAATGTATTGTGTATTGTTTGCTCTACAAATACTAAAGTTACTTTTGATGAGTACGCTTCGTCAGTTGTAAGAAATTCTTTCTTATAAGCAGTAATAATTGTTTATGACTGTCGTTTACAGTTTCGTTGCCCTGCTCGAAAACACTTTCTGCTTATCTTTCGCAATACAACTTTTGATAGTTACTATCATCATGAGCATAACTTTAATACAAGTGAGTTGTTTTACGAAAAACGGTTATAAACTTATCACGTCATCAAGTTACAGAATTAAGACATGATTTAATTTTTCGCATGTTTCAGCTCTCGTCAGAATTGCAGGGTGACATGATGGAAGTGGTGAGATATGTTCCTTTTGTAATTGGTCAATTGGCCCATTTACTTATTTACAGTTATCAGGGGCAAAAGATGATAAATCATAGTCTTGGGTTGTGCGAGAAAATGTAAGACCTTAAGAAAATTTAAACTTCAAAGCAGACCGGTGACATAAGTTTTTTCTACACTTTTGATGGAAAGTTATACTTTTGATGGAAATATAATAATTATCTATAAAGATGAACATAGCATTATCATACCATTTCCTTCGTGTGTATGTCAGACTGATTTTGCAGTTATAATGGTTTGTGGTACACCATACCAGTGAAATCGCAACGGCTGCTGTTGTTCGCGATGAGAAAGAACATAGTGCCTAGTTTTGTGACCGCCGGAAAAATTTATATATTTTGCTTGGAAAATTTTACTTCGGTAAAGTAATTATCATATATGAAGAAAGCTGCAATATAATAAACAAAAGGATACGTGTGCGACTTTAAACAATTTTTCAACGTCCCTATTCAGGTTATGCAATGTTCGATCTCGTATTTTACGGTATTGTCATCTTTCAACGAGCCGTAATGGACAGTCTATGAGTCTAGTAACTCGTCTAGTAAAACAATTGTCCAACATATCGTAGAAGTAACGTTGCGAGCAATATAAGATAATCATATCTCTCCAATATACTTGATATGTTTTCTTGAGCCACTTGCGGCCAAACAGCAATAAATATATATTTTACTGTAGATATTAGAGTATAACCGAGTACATTTTCCCACCTCACGCACGTATTAGGCGAAAATTAACCGACGGTTATGAACTGTTCAATGCTTCGTACGTTTCTACACGTTTCATCTTACTTGTAGAACTGCGCCCATATTCGTTCATGATACACTTCTGTTATTTCTGTAAAATGACGGAATTGTTTAAATGTCACTCTCTCAAACTATGTTTTTCTTTAGCTCACGAAATAATTTTCTAACTCGAAGTGTCCGTCTTTAGACGAATGAGCTATGTACTTCGTACTGAAGACCACTTGCATAAATAATATGTGTAGAAATACATACTTACAGCATGAACATTGCGTGTTTTCGAAAATTCGAACGTAGCAATCAAAGCATCCGGCATTCAGTGACAATGAATATTTACCGATAGCATGTTCTATACCGTTTGGGTTAAAACGGCTTGCCATCAGCCTAACTAGAGCTGACAATTCGCGTTTAGATAATACTTACGCGGAATATGTATTTATATTACGTCTACTAGTTAGTAACAACCTGTGTTGCACCGAATGCGCCGGGCAAAGAAGAAGAGTGACATGATAAATTATTTATGAATTTTCTGTGGCGAGAGTCCCAAGAGGAAAGCTCGATTTTCATATGAGTGTATGATATGAAAAAAGAAACAGTCTCCTTAGGAAATATGGATCGCTTCCAAACGGACTGCAGATATGATTGTTACAAGCTGTGTAAAAAACTTTTGCTTCTGAGTGGGCTGTGGCCTTATGAGAAGCTCAGAAGAAGGCTGCTTCGTATGGGTGTTATCATTGTGTGTGATATTTCTATTATGTTTGTACAGGTAATATTAATTATCACAAGTCCCGCGAGAATCGGTGGTGACGGGTTGTTGAGATTTTAGGTTAAAGTGAAATCGCAGTTTCATGTTTGAATTTAATTCGGTATACGATATTTTTAGCCTCTCGAATAGACATCCATTATCTCGAAAAATCCTAATCAGAAACCTAACTAATTTTCTAGATAGCAAACTATTTCGCCTGCGACACAATACAGTGCATTTTTAAAACTTTACCTATGAATATGATGACGCTACTAGTATTGGTGAAAATATTCACGTACCATTTTAATAGGCAGAAGGTACGTTAGTTCTAAGCTACAGATACAAGTAACTTCTGTGAGCGAAACTTTCAGTTGAAACTTGACGACTATTAATCTCTTTGTTTAAGCATTGGAAATATATTTATGATATCTTGAATATATTAATGACGCTTGTAGATTAAAGGCCTCTTAGAACACTTGCACTCAGACTGGAATGTACTGCATTGTGAAGAAGAATTTGTTATCATGAAGAAATACGCTGAAACTGGTAGATCCTACTCGTTTTATTATGCTGGTAAGAATTTCTTATTCAATAAATGATAGTTAGTGAAACACATTTTTTGCAGTATAATGAAAGAGATAAAGCGAGTTGTAATATGAAATATACTTGATCGTTGTAGAATTTGTTTTTAATGAATAGGAAAATAAAAGCAGCATCTTCGTTGTTTCGTAATAAAACTTTTTGTAGCAAGCATATATTCGATTACCTTTATATTCGGATGCACGGTTCTCGTGCCACGTTTCATGGACGTTGTGTCTCCTTTGAATGAAAGTCGTCCGATAATGATGCCGTGTCCGGCAAACTACTTCGTCGACGAGGAAGAATATTTTTATTATATTTTTGTCCATCTGATAATCGGTGCTTTTGTATGTATTACCGGATTGGTCGCACACGACTGCAACTTCTTAACTTTCGTCGAGCACGTTTGCGGCCTCTTCGAAATTGTGGGGTACTGAATATTTATTTCGAATTTGTATGTTCTTTGTCTTCACATAAATGACAGTTTTGGTTTTCGTAAGGTTACACATACACCCATTAATATGCACACTAATGTTTGCAGTTTCAGGCTCGAACATTTGTTATATAAACGAAATATTATGAAAAGGAATGTGATCGAGCTTTCGGATGACGTGTACGTCAAAAACATCGAGTTTTCCATTCAAGCTCACCGGCGGGCCCTGCAGTAAGTAATGCATCGTATTAGGTGTGTGAATTAATTCGGTCGGGTTTTTTTCTTCCAAAAAAAGACTTTAGTATGAAAAAAAACATGAGAAAATACACTAATCAAAGTATTTGCCATCGCTTGCTATTATGTTTTCCCATCTGTCTGGCAGTTGTTGCATTCCGTGACGGAAAAACGACTCGTCCTTCGAAGCGATCCATTCATTGAGCCATTTCTCTATTTCTTCATAATTGTTGAAGTGCTGTCCGAAAACCCGTGTGCCATCGATCTGAACAAGTGATAATCGGATGGAGCAATGTCTGGTGAATACGGCGGATGAGGTAAAACGTCCCAGCCAAATGCTCCCAAGGTGGCCTTCACAATCTTTCCAACATGTGGCCGAGCGTTATCGTGGATCGCTGGAAGATCACTTTATCGTGTTTCTTTGCACATTCCGGCCGTTTATTCTTCAATACGTTGTTCAAACGGATTAAATGTTGCTGGTAAAGTTCGGCAGTGATGGTTTGGCTCTGTTTTAATAGTTCATGATACATTACACCCTTCCGGTCCCACCATATACAGAGCATTACTTTCATGCCGTGAATATTCCGTTTTGGTATCGATGTGGATGGTTTTCCTGGGTCGCTAATGGATTTCCTTCGTTTGGGATTATCGAAATATATCCACTTTTCGCCTGCAGTCACAATATGACGCAAAAAACCTTTTCTATTTTGCCTGGCGGGCAAGATTTCAGACATGGCTTTTCGTCTTTCGATATCTATTTCTTTCAGTGCGTATGGCTCCCATCTTCCTTCTTTGTAAATGTGATCCCATAGCTGCCAAACGCATAGAAATTGATGATCGATCAACATTCAACAATTGTGCGAGCTCATGTTGCGATTGACACGGATCTTTATCGATGAGCGCCTGCAATTCCTCGTCCTCGAACTTCTTCGGCTGACCTGGACGACGGTTCAGTGTCGTTTGTCATCAACACTGAAATCATCACTTTTGAAACGTCGAGACCATTCTCCGCATGATTTATCGGTGGGAGCACTTTCACTATAAGCTTCTACGAGCATTCAATGAGCTTCAGCAGCTGTTTTCTTCAAATGAAAACAGAAAATGAGAACTTCCCGGAAATGATGCTTTCTTGGCTCGAATTTCGACATTTTCGAATCAGATAAACACGATGTTATTGTTACAAACCCGAACGTTTATCAACTGAATATTATTGCCAGATATCAAAACTAAAAAATAAAGCTTTTTGCAGAAATTACAAGTTAGAAAATTACAGCAGCAATTGACCGTCAGATGGACCGAATTAATTCACACACTCAATATATCTTTTGCTCTACAAATACTAAAGTTACTTTTAATGAGTACGCTTTGTTAGTTATAACAAATTCTTCCTTATAAGCAGTAATAATTGTTTATTACTATCGTTTACAGTTTCGTTACCCTGCTCGAAAACACATTCTGCTTATCATTCGCAATACAACTCTTGATAATTACGACCAACATGAGCATAACTTTAATACAAGTGAGTTGCTTTCCAAAAGACGATTAGAAACACATCGCCAAGCTATAGAATTAAGACATGATTTAATTTTTCGCATGTTTCAGCTCTCGTCAGAATTGCAGGGTGATATGGTGGAAATGGTGAGACTCGTTCCTTACATAATTGGTCAATTGGCTCATTTATTTATTTACAGTTACCAGGGGCAAAAGTTGATAAATCACAGTCTTGAGTTGTGCCAGAAAATGTAAGGAGATTTTAAGTAGATTTAACTTCAAAAGAGATCGGTGACATAAATTTTTTCGACACGTAAAGTTATACTTTTGATGAAAATATGATAATTATCTGTAGAGACAAACATAACATTATTGTCCATACCATTTCCTTCGTGTGTATGAACTAATTTTGCAGTTATAATGGTTTGTGGTACACTATACCAGTGAAATCGCAACGGCTGCTGTTGTTCGTAATGAGAAAGAACATAGAGCCTAGTTTTATGACCGCTGGAAAAGTTTACATATTTTGCTTGGAAAGTTTTACTTCGGTAAAGTAATTGTCACATACGGAGAAAGCTGCAATGTAATAAACAAAAGGATACGTGTGCGACTTTAAACAATTTTTCAACATCCCTATTCAGGTCATGCAATGCTCGCTTTCGTACTTTACGGTATTGTCATCTTTCAACGAGCCATAATGGACAGTCGATGATTCTAGTGACTCGTCTAGTAAAGCTACTTCAACATGAAGTGACGTTACGAGCAATATGAGATAATCGTATCTCCCCAATATACTTGATATGTTTTCTTGAGCCACTTACGAGCAAATAGTAATAAATACATATTTTACTATCGACATTAGAGAATAATCGAATACATTTCCACATCTCACACATGTGTTAGACGAAAATTAACCGATGTTTATTAAACGTTCAGTGTTTTGTATGTTTCTATACGTTTCGTTTTACCTGTAGAGCTGCGCCTATTTATATTGTTTAATGTGAAATACTGGAATTGCCCTAACGTCATTCTATCAAACCATGTTTTTCTTTATCTCACGAAGTAATTCTTTTTTCTAACGTAAAGTGTCTGTCTCTCGACGGAAAAACTGCATACTTCGTACTGAAGCCCATTTGCATAAATAATCTCGATAGAAATACAGCATGAACACTGCAGGTTTTCTACCGTAGAAAGATTCTACCGTAGCAATCAAAATATTCACCATTCCCTGATAACGAATATTTATTGATATCGTCTTCTATACATATCTTTTGGGTTAAAACGGCTTGCCATCACCCTAACTAGAGCTGTCAATTCGCGTTTAGATAATACTTACGCGGAACATGTACTTATGTTACGTCTGCTAGTTAGTAACAACCGAATGCGCCGGGCAAAGAAGAAGAGTGACATGACAAATTCTTTATTGATTTTCCGTGGCGAGAATTCGTAGAAGGTAGCTCGATATTCAAATGAGTGTGTGATACGAAAGAAGATCAGTCTCCTTAGGAAATATGGATCGCTTCCAAACGGACTGTAGATATGATTGTTACAAGCTATGTAGAAAACTTTTGCTACTCACTGGTTTGTGGCCTTATGACAAGTTCAGAAACAGGCTGCTTCATATGGGTGTTATCATTGTATTTGATATTTCTATTATGTTTGCACAGGTAATATTAATTATCACAAGTCCCGCGAGAATCGGTGGTGAACGGTTGTTGAGATTTTAGGTTAAAGTAAAATCGCAGTTTCATGTTTGAATTTAATTCGGTATACGATATTTTTAGCCTCTCGAGTGGACATCTATCATCCCGATAAATCCTAATCAAAAACCTAACTAATTTTGTAGATAGCAAACTATTTCGTCTGCGACACAATACAGTGCGTTTTTCAAACTTTACCTCTGAATATGATGACGGTAATGGTGTTGGTGAAAATATTCACGTACCATTTTAATAAGCAGAAGGTACATTAGTTCAAATCTACAGATATAAGTGACTTCTGTGTGCGAAATTTTCAGTTGAATCTTGACGACTATTATTAACCTCTTTGTGTAAACATTGAAAATATATTTGTGATATCTTGATATATTGATGACGCTTGTAGATTAAAGGCCTCTTAGAACACTTGCACTCAGACTGGAATGTACTGCATTGTGAAGAAGAATTTGTTATCATGAAGAAATACGCTGAAACTGGTAGATTCTACTCGTTTTACTATGCCAGTAAAAATTTCTTATTTAATAAATGATAGTTATAGAAACACATTTTTTGCGGTATAATGAAAGAGATAAAGCGAGTTGTAATATGAAATATACTTGATCGTTGTTGAATTTGTTTAATGAATTGGAAAATAAAAGCAGCATCTTCGTTGTTTCGTAATAAAACTTTTTGTAGCAAGCGTATATTCGCTTACCCTTATATTCGGATGCACGGTTCTCGTACCACGTTTCATGGACATTGTGTCTCCTTTGAATGAAAGTCGTCCGATAATATTGCCGTGTCCGGCAAACTATTTCGTCGACGAGGAAGAATATTTTTATTATATTTTTGTCCATATGATAATCGGTGGTCTTATATGTATTACCGGAGTGCTCGCGCATGACTGCAATTTCTTCACTTTCACCGAGCACGTTTGCGGCCTCTTCGAAATTGTGGGGTAAGTACTGAATATTTATCTCAAGAGCTTGTAATGTGTTCCTTGTCGTCATGTACCAGATATGTAAATATGAAACCGGAATTTTTGTATCGAAAATACACGTTTATTGTATGAAAATAATAAAAAATATTTTATTCGAAGTATTGCCCATCGCTAGCTATACATTTTTCTCACCTGTCTGACAATTTGTGGATGCCACGCTAAAAAGACTGTTGCTCTTTTGAGGCAAACCGGTCATCGAGCCATTTTCGTACATTTTCGTAAGAAGTGAAGCGCTGCTCAGCAAGTGCGTGTCCCATCGATGCAAATAAGTAGTAATCGGACGGAGCCAAGTCTGGTGAGTAAGCCGCATGCGAAAGTATTTCCCAACCAAACACCTCAATCGTTTCCTTGACCAGTTTTGCTGTGTGTGATGGTGCATTATCATGAAGCAAAATCACTTTGTGTTGCCTTTTTTGATATTCTGGTGGTTTTTCACGCAAAGCTTGATTCAAATCGATCATTTGTTGTCGGTAGCGTTCAGTATGAACGGTTTCGCCAGGTTTTAGCAGCTCATAATAGATCACACCCTTCTGATCCCACCAAACACAGAGCATTGTCTTCCGCACATAGCGATTTGGCCTTGCAGTCGATGTCGACGGTTCGCCTGGAGTTACCCATGACCTTTTACGCTTAGGATTCTCAAAATATATCCATTTTTCATCGCCAGTCACAATTCGATGGAGAAATGACTTTCTTTTGTACCTGGCGAGCAGCATTTCGCAAGTGGTTTTTCGGTTTTCCTGCTGTCTTTCATTCAGTTCATGTGGAACCCATTTTCCCATCTTCTGGATCTTTCCCATGGCTTTCAAACGTATGGAGATGACTTCTCGTGTCACATTTAATTGATCCGCGAGTTGTTGTTGCGTTTGAGCGTCATCCTCATCCAACAATGCTTGCAATTCGCTGTCTTCAAACTTTTTCGGTGGTCTTCCACGTTCTTCGTTTCTCACGTCAAAATCGCCACGTTTGAATTTTTTAAACCACTCAAAGCACTGTGATTTACCAAGAGCATGCTCACCGTAAGCTTCGACAAACATTCGATGCGATTCTGCAGCAGTTTTCTTCAGATGGTAACAGAAAATCAATGCTGTTCGCAAATCGCAGCTCCCAGGCACAAAATTCGACATATTCAACGCTATTACAAACTATGCTGTTGTATGAAACTTGTATTGTTGTGAGTTGAAAATCTTTGTCAGATGTCAATAAATGAAAATGGCGCTAATGACGCGGTTTGACGGTAACTACATTTACAGCTAGGGCCATCTATGGGCAAAGTCCGGTTTCATATTTACAGACCTGGTAAATGACAATTTTGGTTCTCACAATCGTTTGTATAATTTAATGGCGGGAATGCACATGAACACATTAATATGCACGCTAATGTTTACAGCTTCAGATTTGAACATTTGTTATATAAACGAAATATTACGGAAAAAAGCTTGATTGAGTTTTCGGATAACATTTATGTCAAAAACATCGAGTTTTCCATTGAAGCTCATCGGCGGGCCCTCCAGTAAATAATGCATTGTATATCTTTTTCTCTACAAATGCTAAAGTCACTTTTAATGAGTACGCTTTGTCAGTTGTAACAAATTCTTTCTTATAAGCAGTAATAATTGTTTATGACCATCGTTTATAGTTTCGCTACCCTGCTCGAAAACACTTTCTGCTTATCCTTCGCAGTACAACTCTTGATAGCTACGACCGGCATGAGCATAAGTTTATTACAAGTGAGCAGTTGCTTTCTGAGAAATGATTATAAATTTGTTACAACGAATTACAGAATTAAAACATGATTTAATCATTCGCATGTTTCAGATCTCGTCAGAATTGCAGGGTGACATGATGGAAGTGGTGAGATTCGTTCCTTTTGTAATTGGTCAATTGGGCCATTTACTTATTTACAGTTATGAGGGGCAAAAGATGATAAATCATAGTCTTGAGTTATGCCAGAAAATGTAAGGAGATTTTAAGATTTAACTTCAAAAGGGATCGGTGAAAAGTTTTTTGACACGTAAAAGTTTTACTTTTGATAAAAATATAATAATTATCTGTAAAGATGAACGTAGCATTATCATACCATTTCCTTCGTGTGTATGTCGGACCGATTTTGCAGTTATAATGGTTTGTGGTACAACATACCAGTGAAATCGCAACGGCTGCTGTTGTTCGCGATGAGGAAGACCATAGAGCCTAGTTTTGTGTCCGCTGGAAAAATTTACATATTTTGCTTGGAAAGTTTTACTTCGGTAAAGTAATTATCACATATGGAGGAAGCTGCAATATAATAAACAAAAGGATACATGTGCAACTTTAAACAATTTTTCAACTTCCCTGTTCAGGTGTTGCAATGCTCGCTCTCGTACTTTACGGTATTGTCATCTTTCAACGAGCCATAATGGACAGTCTATGAGTCTAGTAACTCGTCTAGTGAAACAACTCTTCAACATATCGCAAAAGTGACGTTACGAGCAATATGAGATAACCGTATCTTTCCAATATACTTGATATGTTTCCTTGAGCCACTTGCGGCCAAACATCAATAAATACGTATTTTACTATCGATATCAGAAAACAACCGAGTACATTTTCTCATCTTACACACGTGTTAGACGAAAATTAACCGATGTTTATTAAATGTTCAATGTTTTGTACGTTTCCATACGTTTCATCTTACTTGTAGAGCTGCGCCTATTTATATTGTTTAATGATACACTTCTATTATTTCTGTGAAATACCGGAATTGTCCTAACGTCATTCTATCAAACCATGTTTTTCTTTATCTCACGAAGTAATTTTTTTATCTAACGTAAAGTGTCTGTCTCTCGACGGAAAAACTGCATACTTCGTACTGAAGCCCATTTGCATAAATAATGTCGATAGAAATACAACATGAACACTGCAGGTTCTCAAAGATTTTACCGTAGCAATCAAAATATCCACCATTCCCTGACAACGGATATTTATTGATAGCATGTTTTATATATATCTTTGGTTAAAACGGTTTGCCATCAGCCTAACTAGAGCTGTCAATTTGCATTTAGATACTTACGCGGAACATGTACTTATGTTACGTCTGCTAGTTAGTAACAACCTGTGTTGCACCGAATGCACCGGGCAAAGAAGAAGAGTGACATGATAAATTCTTTATTGATTTTCCGTGGCGAGAATTCGAAGAGGGAAGCTCGATATTCAAATGAGTGTGTGATACGAAAGACAAACAGTCTTCTTAGGAAATATGGATCGCTTCCAAACGGACTGTAGATATGATTGTTACAAGCTATGTAGAAAACTTTTGCTACTCACTGGTTTGTGGCCTTATGACAAGTTCAGAAACAGGCTGCTTCATATGGGTGTTATCATTGTATTTGATATTTCTATTATGTTTGCACAGGTAATATTAATTATCACAAGTCCCGCGAGAATCGGTGGTGAACGGTTGTTGAGACTTTAGGTTAAAGTAAAATCGCAGTTTCATGTTTGAATTTAATTCGGTATACGATATTTTTAGCCTCTCGAGTGGACATCCATCATCCCGATAAATCCTAATCAAAAACTTAACTAATTTTGTAGATAGCAAACTATTTCGTCTGCGACACAATACAGTGCGTTTTTAAAACATTACCTATGAATATGATGACGGTAATGGTGTTGGTGAAAATATTCACGTACCATTTTAATAGGCAGAAGGTACATTAGTTCAAATCTACAGATAATAGTGACCTCTGTGTGCGAAATTTTCAGTTGACACTTGACGACTATTAATCTCTTTGTGTAAATTTGAAAATATATTTGAGATATCTTGAATACATTGATGATACTTGTAGATTAAAGGCCTCTTAGAACACTTGCACTCAGACTGGAATGTACTGCGTTGTGAAGAAGAATTTGTTATCATGAAGAAATACGCTGAAACTGGTAGATCCTACTCGTTTTACTATGCTAGTAAGAATTTCTTATTTAATAAATGGTAGTTAGAAAAACACATTTTTTGCAGTATAATGAAAGAGATAAAGCGAGTTGTAATATGAAATATACTTGATCGTTGTAGAATTTGTTTTTAATGAATAGGAAAATAAAAGCAGCATCTTCGTTGTTTCGTAATAAAACTCTTTGTAGCAAGCATATATTCGATTTCCTTTATATTCGTATGCACGGTTCTCGTGCCACGTTTCATGGACATTGTGTCTCCTTTGAATGAAAGTCGTCCGATAATATTGCCGTGTCCGGTAAACTACTTCGTCGACGAGGAAGAATATTTTTATTATATCTTTGTCCATCTGACAATCGGTGCCTTTGTATGTATTACCGGATTTCTCGCACACGACTGCAACTTCTTCACTTTCGTCGAACACGTTTGCGGCCTCTTCGAAATTGTGGGGTACTGAATATTTATTTTGAATTTGTATGTTTGTCTTCACATAAATGACAATTGTGGTCCTTATAATCGTTCGTATAATACATCAATATGCACCCTAATGTTTGCAGCTTCAGATTTGAACATTTGTTATATAAACGAAATATTACGGAAAAGAGCTTGAGTGTTCGGATTGAGGTTTCGGATAAATTTTATGTCAAAAACATCGAGTTTTCCATTGAAGCTCACCAGCGGGCCCTCCAGTAAGTAATGCGTTGTATATCTTTTGTTCTACAAATGCTAAAGTCACTTTTAATAAGTACGCTTTGTCAGTTGTAACAAATTCTTTCTTATAAGCAGTAATAATTGTTTATGACCATCGTTTATAGTTTCGCTGCCCTGCTCGAAAACACTTTCTGCTTATCCTTCGCAGTACAACTCTTGATAGTTACGACCGGCATGAGCATAACTTTGTTACAAGTGAGTAGTTGCTTTCTGATAAACGATTATAAATTTGTCACAACGAATTACAGAATTAAAACATGATTTAATCATTCGCATGTTTCAGCTCTCGTCAGAATTGCAGGGTGACATGATAGAAGTGGTGAGATTCGTTCCTTTTGTAATTGGTCAATTGGGCCATTTACTTATTTACAGTTATGAGGGGCAAAAGATGATAAATCATAGTCTTGAGTTATGCCAGAAAATGTAAGAAGATTTTAAGATTTAACTTCAAAAGAGATCGGTGAAAAGTTGTTTGACACGTAAAAGTTTTACTTTTGATAAAAATATAATAATTATCTGTAAAGATGAACGTAACATTACCATACCATTTCCTTCGTGTGTATGTCGGACCGATTTTGCAGTTATAATGGTTTGTGGTACACCATACCAGTGAATTCGCAACGACTGCTGTTGTTCGCGCTGAGGAAGACCATAGAGCCTAGTTTTGTGTCCGCTGGAAAAATTTACATATTTTGCTTGGAAAGTTTTACTTCGGTAAAGTAATTATCACATATGGAGGAAGCTGCAATATAATAAACAAAGGGATACATGTGCAACTTTAAACAATTTTTCAACTTCCCTGTTCAGGTCATGCAATGCTCGCTTTCGTACTTTACGGTATTGTCAACTTTCAACGAGCCATAATGGAGTAGATGATTCTAGTAACTCGTCTAGTGAAACAACTCTTCAACATATCGCAGAAGTGACGTTACGAGCAATAAGAGATAACTATATCTCTCCAATATCTCTCCAATATCTCTCCAATTGATATGTTTTCTTGATCCACTTGCGGCCAAACAGCAATAAATACGTATTTTACTATCGATATCAGAAAACAACCGAATACATTTTCTCATCTCACGCACGTGTTAGAAGAAAATTAACCGATGTTTATTAAACGTTCAATGCTTTGTACGTTTCCATACGTTTCATCTTACTTGTAGAGCTGCACCTATTTATATTGTTTAATGATACACTTCTATTATTTCTGTGAAATATCGGAATTGTCCTAACGTCATTCTATCAAACCATGTTTTTCTTTATCTCACGAAGTAATTCTTTTTTCTAACGTAAAGTGTCTGTCTCTCGACGGAAGAACTGCATACGTACTGCTTCGTACTGTAACCCATTTGCATAAATAACGTCGATAGAAATACAGCATGAACACTGCAGGTTCTCAAAGATTCTACCGTAGCAATCAAAATATCCACCATTCCCTGACAACGAATATTTATTGATACCATGTTCTATACATATCTTTTGGGTTAAAATGGCTTGCCATCAGCCTAACTAGAGCTGTCAATTCGCGTTTAGATAATACTTACGCGGAACATGTACTTATGTTACGTCTGCTAGTTAGTAACAACCTGTGTTGCACCGAATGCGCCGGGCAAAGAAGAAGAGTGACATGATAAATTCTTTATTGATTTTCCGTGGCGGGAATTCGAAGAGGGAAGCTCGACATTCAAATGAGTGTGTGATACGAAAGAGAAACAGTCTCCTTAGGAAATATGGATCGCTTCCAAACGGACTGTAGATATGATTGTTACAAGCTATGTAGAAAACTTTTGCTACTCAGTGGTTTGTGGCCTTATGACAAGTTCAGAAACAGGCTGCTTCATATGGGTGTTATCATTGTGTGTGATATTTCTATTATGTTTGTACAGGTAATATTAATTATTGTCGAAAGTCCCGCGAGAATCGACGGTGAACGATCGTTGAGATTTTGGGCTAAAGTGATCGCAGTTTCATGTTTGAATTTAATTCGGTATACGATATTTTTAGCCTCTCGAGTGGACATCCATCATCCCGATAAATCCTAATCAAAAACCTAACTAATTTTGTAGATAGCAAACTATTTCGTCTGCGACACAATACAGTGCGTTTTTAAAACTTTACCTATGAATATGATGACGGGAATAGTGTTGGTGAAAATATTCACGTACCATTTTAATAGGCAGAAGGTACATTAGATCATATCTACAGATAATAGTGACTTCTGTGTGCGAAATTTTCAGTTGAAACTTAAATACTATTAATCTCTTTGTGCAAACATTGAAATATATTTGTGATATCTTGAATACATTGATGATACTTGTAGATTAAAGGCATCTTAGAACACTTGCACTCAGACTGGAATGTACTGCGTTGTGAAGAAGAATTTGTTATCATGAAGAAATACGCTGAAACTGGTAGATCCTACTCGTTTTACTATGCTAGTAAGAATTTCTTATTTAATAAATGATAGTTAGAGAAACACATTTTTTGCAGTATAATGAAAGAGATGAAGCGAGTTGTAATATGAAATATACTTGATCGTTGTAGAATTTGTTTTTAATGAATAGGAAAATAAAAGCAGCATCTTCGTTGTTTCGTAATAAAACTCTTTGTAGCAAGCATATATTCGATTTCCTTTATATTCGGATGCATGGTTCTCGTGCCACGTTTCATGGACATTGTATCTCGTTTGAATGAAAGTCGTCCGATAATATTGCCGTGTCCGGCAAACTACTTCGTCGACGAGGAAGAATATTTTTATTATATTTTTGTCCATCTGATAATCGGTGCTTTTGTATGTATTACCGGATTGGTCGCACACGACTGCAACTTCTTCACTTTCGTCGAGCACGTTTGCGGTCTCTTCGAAATTGTGGGGTACTGAATATTTATTTCGAATTTGTATGTTTGTCTTCACATAAATGACGATTTTGATCCTTATAATCGTTCGTATAATACATTAATATGCACGCTAATATTTGTAGCTTCAGATTTGAACATTCGTTATATAAACGAAATATTACGGAAAAAAGCTTAATTGAGTTTTCGGATAACATTTATGTCAAAAACATCGAGTTTTCCATTGAATCTCACCGGCGGGCCCTCCAGTAAGTAATGCGTTGTATATCTTTTGCTCTACAAATGCTAAAGTCACTTTTAATGAGAACGCTTTGTCAGTTGTAACAAATTCTTTCTTATAAGCAGTAATAATTGTTTATGACCATCGTTTATAGTTTCGCTGCCCTGCTCGAAAACACTTTCTGCTTATCCTTCGCAGTACAACTCTTGATAGTTACGACCGGCATGAGCATAACTTTATTACAAGTGAGTAGTTACTTTCTGATAAACGATTATAATTTTGTCACAACGAATTACAGAATTAAAACATGATTTAATCATTCGCATGTTTCAGCTGTCGTCAGAATTGCAGGGTGACATGATAGAAGTGGTGAGAATCGTTCCTTTTGTAATTGGTCAATTGGGCCATTTACTTATTTATAGTTACGAGGGGCAAAAGATGATAAATCATAGTCTTGAGTTATGCCAGAAAATGTAAGGAGATTTTAAGATTTAACTTCAAAAGAGATCGGTGAAAAGTTTTTTGACACGTAAAAGTTTTACTTTTGATAAAAATATGATAATTATCTGTAAAGATGAACGTAGCATTATCATACCATTTCCTTCGTGTGTATGTCGGACCGATTTTGCAGTTATAATGGTTTGTGGTACAACATACCAGTGAAATCGCAACGGCTGCTGTTATTCGCGATGAGGAAGACCATAGAGCCTAGTTTTGTGTCCGCTGGAAAAGTTTACATATTTTGCTTGGAAAGTTTTACTTCGGTAAAGTAATTATCACATACGGAGGAAGCTGCAATATAATAAACAAAAGGATACATGTGCAACTTTAAACAATATTTCAACTTCCCTGTTCAGGTGTTGCAATGCTCGCTCTCGTACTTTACGGTATTGTCAACTTTCAACGAGCCATAATGGAGTAGATGGTTCTAGTAACGCGTCTAGTGAAACAACTCTTCAACATATCGCAAAAGTGACGTTACGAGCAATATGAGATAACCGTATCTTTCCAATATACTTGATATGTTTCCTTGAGCCACTTGCGGCCAAACAGCAATAAATACGTATTTTACTATCGATATCAGAAAACAATCGAGTACATTTTCTCATCTTACACACGTGTTAGACGAAAATTAATCGATGTTTATTAAATGTTCAATGTTTTGTACGTTTCCATACGTTTCATCTTACTTGTAGAGCTGCGCCTATTTATATTGTTTAATGATACACTTCTATTATTTCTGTGAAATACCGGAATTGTCCTAACGTCATTCTATCAAACCATGTTTTTCTTTATCTCACGAAGTAATTTTTTTATCTAACGTAAAGTGTCTGTCTCTCGACGGAAAAACTGCATACTTCGTACTGAAGCCCATTTGCATAAATAATGTCGATAGAAATACAACATGAACACTCCAGGTTCTCAAAGATTCTACCGTAGCAATCAAAATATCCACCATTCCCTGACAACGAATATTTATTGATAGCATGTTCTATACATATCTTTAATTTTTCTATACTTATCTGGGTTAAAATGGCTTGCCATCAGCCTAACTAGAGCTGTCAATTCGCGTTTAGATAATACTTACGCGGAACATGTACTTATGTTACGTCTGCTAGTTAGTAACAACCTGTGTTGCACCGAATACGCCGGGCAAAGAAGAAGAGTGACATGATAAATTCTTTATTGATTTTCCGTGGCGAGAATTCGAAGAGGGAAGCTCGATATTCAAATGAGTGTGTGATACGAAAGAGAAACAGTCTTCTTAGGAAATATGGATCGCTTCCAAACGGACTGTAGATATGATTGTTACAAGCTATGTAGAAAACTTTTGCTACTCAGTGGTCTGTGGCCTTATGACAAGTTCAGAAACAGGCTGCTTCATATGGGTGTTATCATTGTATATGATATTTCTATTATGTTTGTACAGGTAATATTAATTATTGTCGAAAGTCCAGCGGGAGTCGACGGTGAACGAATGTTGAGATTTTGGGCTAAAGTGATCGCAGTTTCTTTTGAATTTAATTTGGTATACGATATTTTTAGCCTCTCGAGTGGACATCCATCATCCTGATAAATCGTAATCAAAACCCTAACTAATTTTCTAGATAGCAAACTATTTCGTCTGCGACACAATACAGTGCGTTTTTAAAACTTTACCTATGAATATGATGGCGGTAATGGTGTTGGTGAAAATATTCACGTACCATTTTAATAGGCAGAAGGTACATTAGTTCAAATCTACAGATAAAAGTGACCTCTGTATGCGAAATTTTCAGTTGACACTTGACGACTATTAATCTCTTTGTGTAAACATTGAAAATATATTTGTGATATCTTGAATATATTGATGACATTTGTAGATTAAAGGCCTCTTAGAACACTTACACTCAGACTGGAATGTACTGCATTGTGAAGAAGAATTTGTTATCATGAAGAAATACGCTGAAACTGGTAGATTCTACTCGTTTTTCTATGCCAGTAAGAATTTCTTATTCAATAAATGATAGTTAGAGAAACACTTTTTTTGCAGTATAATGAAAGAGATAAAGCGAGTTGTAACATGAAATATACTTGATCGTTGTAGAATTTGTTTTTAATGAATAGGAAAATAAAAGCAGCATCTTCGTTGTTTCGTAATGAAACTTTTTGTAGCAAGCATATATTCGATTACCTTTTTTATATTCGGATGCACGGTTCTCGTGTCACGTTTCATGGACATTGTGTCTCCTTTGAATGAAAGTCGTCCTATAATATTGCCGTGTCCAGCAAACTACTTCGTCGACGAGGAAGAATATTTTTATTATATTTGTGTCCATCTATTAATCGGTGCTTTTGTATGTATTACCGGATTGGTCGCACACGACTGCAATTTCTTCACTTTCGTCGAGCACGTTTGCGGTCTCTTCGAAATTGTGGGGTAAGTACTGAATATTTATCTCAAGATCTTGTTATGTGTTCCTTGTCGTCATATAAATGACAATTTTAGTCCTCATAATTGTTCGTATAATTTAATGGCGGGAAATGCACGTGAACACATTAATATGCACGCTAATGTTTGCAGCTTCAGATTTGAACATTTGTTATATGAACGAAATATTAAGGAAAAAAGCTTGATTGAGTTTTCGGATAACATTTATGTCAAGAACATCGAGTTTTCCATTGAAGCTCACCGGCGGGCCCTCCAGTAAGTAATGCATTGTATATCTTTTGCTCTACAAATGCTAAAGTCACTTTTAATGAGTACGCTTTGTCAGTTGTAACAAATTCTTTCTTATAAGCAGTAATAATTGTTTATGACCATCGTTTATAGTTTCGTTGCCCTGCTCGAAAACACTTTCTGCTTATCCTTCGCAGTACAACTCTTGATAGTTACGACCGGCATGAGCATAACTTTATTATATGTGAGTAGTCGCTTTCTGATAAACGATTATAAATTTGTCACAACGAATTACGAATAAGAAAGAATTAAAACATGATTTAATCTTTTGCATGCTTAAGATCTCTTCAGAATTGCAGGGTGACATGATAGAAGTGGTGAGATTCGTTCCTTTTGTAATTGGTCAATTGGGCCATTTACTTATTTACAGTTACGAGGGGCAAAAGATAATAAATCATAGTCTTGAATTGTGCCAGAAAATGTAAGGAGATTTTAAGAAGATTTAACTTCAAAAGAGATCGGTGAAAAGTTTTTTGACACGTAAAAGTTTTACTTTTGATAAAAATATAATAATTATCTGTAAAGATGAACATAACATTATCATACCATTTCCTTCATGTGTTCGATTTTGCAGTTATAATGGTTTGTGGTACAACATACCAGTGAAATCGCAACGGCTGTTGTTGTTCGCGATGAGGAAGAACGTAGAGCCTAGTTTTGTGTCCGCTGGGAAAATTTACATATTTTGCTTGGAAAGTTTTACTTCGGTAAAGTAATTATCACATACGGAGAAAGCTGCAATATAATAAACAAAAGGATACGTGTGCAACTTTAAACAATTTTTCAACTTCCCTGTTCAGGTGTTGCAATGCTCGCTCTCGTACTTTACGGTATTGTCAACTTTCAACGAGCCATAATAATGGAGCAGATGATTCTAGTGACTCGTCTAGTGAAACAACTTTTCAACATATCGCAGAAGTGACGTTACGAGCAATGTGAGATAACTGTATCTCTCCAATATACTTGATATGTTTTCTTGAGCAACTTGCGGCCAAACATCAATAAATACGTATTTTATTATCGATATCAGAATACAACCGAGTACATTTTCCCATCTCACACACGTGTTACATGTCGCGGACGCTCCTCATATCCGTTTTTTGTTTCTGCGAAGAATGCAGCTTTCGCATCTATTCACGAGGGTTTCGAACATTGGTAAATGCAAGTACATAATAATCGGATGTCTACAGTCTGATTGATACCTTCCGATCCCAGGGAGATGTCGTATACGTATAACTACTTATACCACGTAGGGATATAAACACTGTGGTATAAAAATATATGCAGTTGTCAATCATTAGATAATAACTTAAGATTGCAATACGATGGGTTTCCTACGATGGGGATAATATTTGCGCGTGCTACACTTTGTCCACATGAATCATTTATTCATCCACCGCACCGGTATAGGTAGGTCATTAATTTTATTCCTTCGTGCGACCCCGAGGATGTAGTATGCCTGTGCAGAGTATGGAGATTAATTGGAATTACTATTACGGTATAGTGGAGAAGTTATCGTGTTACACCGGTTTGTGGCCATTCCTGAAACCACGAAGGAGATTGATCTGCTTATCCTTGATGATAGTGATATTCATAACGTTGTTCATCCCTGAGGTAAAGTGAAAGCGTGAGATATAACTTCATCATTGATCATTGATTGGAACTTGTTATAAGAAATTGAAAATTTCGGCAGTTTGCGTTTCTCAATATATGCGAGGAAGGTATACAATGTAATTTTCTATCGGTAACAGCGTATATGTTGACAATTATGTCCATAGTGAAGATGGCTACATTTCAATTAAACATACAAAAAGTACGTTTGGTAATATAAGAACATCGTACGGCGATCAAATACTTGCATGTTGCAGTTTCATTTCCTCTCATTTTCTATCCTGTGCACAAACATGAACGTCCTTTTGAATTTATAAACGCACTTCTTCGACATACGCACCTTTACGGACTGTAACATTTTATCAGGTCGCTTAAAAAATATGCTCTTAATCGACGTTTTAATCGTCAGTTTAGAGAACTCACCAAACGCCTATTTATTGACCGGAAATCACTGGAAACCCCCGAGGAGTGCGAAATTGCGAAATCGCACGCTCAAGCTTGCAGGCAATTTTCCATACTATATCCCGGTAAGATTTTTCGACTATCCATTTAGTTGCTGCGTCAATCCTTCGTGCAACTTTACTTTCGTAAAGAACTTCATGCTTTGCAGTGTACGTTCTCGGAACAGTGTACATATTTATGTCGGTATCTATCGTGCCGCCTATACTTGATGTAATATCGCCGCTTAATGAATCCCGCCCTATCCTTTTACCTTATCCGGGGTATTACTTTGTGGACAGTAAGAAATACTTTTATTACATCTATGGCCACTCCATCGTGAGCTGGCAGATGGTCATGACTGTAATAGTGACGCATGATTGCTTGTACGTGGGTTACGTGGAACACGTTTGCAGTATGTTCGCAGTGATCGGGTAAGGGGATACTTTCCTCCGGTGTAATTCAATACGTTGAAAGAAAGTTAAAATAAGAGAAACAGGAAAATGAATGAAGGGATTTTTTTAAATTAGATGACGATACAATGAAATACAGTTATAAAGATTTGTGAGAGTCGAACGTGGCGTAAGGTCAAAGTCTCTCCAATACTAATTGTAAGAATAATTATCCGTCGTAGCACTGAACTGCAATAAATATTTTCCATTACACATTAAAGATCTCAGTATGTCCAACTCTTCCTTTTTCTTGTGGCAGATAGTTTTTACATGCATCAGTCAGGCCTTGTGACTTTACGTTCTGCTCCCACAGATTTTTGTAACTGTACGTTAAAATGTGTATTCGGATCATTTATTCAAGAAGCAAACGAAAAATCAGTATATAACACTGTTTGCAGATATCGTTTCGAATATGTGTTTTGTAATCGTAACGAGGCGTTAAAAGATTCGAAAGATGATCTAGACGATGTGTACTGTAAGAAGATTGCGCTCTTCGTGCACAACCACCAAAAAGCTTTAGAGTGAGTATATAATATGCGTAATCTCGTTGTGTAATATAAAGAAATGTGAGCTGCAACGTTTTCGAGTCGAGAAAAGACGCAGGAATATCGGGAAATGATGAAAAGTTGAAGTTTTCAGTGTCTCTCATCTGCTGCAGGTTCGCACAGCTTCTCGAAAATGCTTTCACCATATCTTTCGCTATACAATTGTCCATCACTGTTATAACGATGAGTTGCACTTTGTTACAAGTATATATGTATATATATATATATTCTCAATCATCGTGGAATTCTCCACACTCAGCATTAATTAGCATATCACTTTTTGTCCTTGAGATCACGCGGGAAAGTGGGTTCTTAGACTTGGTGAGGTACGTTATGTACACCGGCGGACAGTTGTTTCATTTATTCTGCCTGAGTTTCGAGGGACAGAAGCTAATAGACCACAGTCTTCAGATGCGCGACAAGATGTGAGACACTGTGAAATCTAACCTAACGAAAAAATTCCTGCACGTGTTATCTTTTGTACTTAGCTCGCCTCTCTTCGAAATGTTGCAGATACAGTAGCTCCTGGTACGAAGCGCCTTTAAAGTCACGAAAGTTGCTCATTATAACGATGATACAGAGCATTCGGCCGATTTCCTTGACCGCCGGCAAGATTTATGTGTTCTCTCTGGAAAGCTTTACCACGGTGAAATAAGACTTTTCACACGTAAGCAATGCTCCGGAATTTTATCTCGCCTAACAACCAGTTTCTTCTGTTTTAAAGATCCTACAGACCTCGATGTCGTATTTTACGGTACTCGCGTCTTTTCAATAGAAACGCTACGTCTGCGATGGTACTGATGTCCTGTCGAGTGCGCAACCCCTTTCTACTTGTGTCTTTTTAATATAATGTAAGTTTTTTATCAAGACAATTGAGAACGGGAGAAGAAGGTAGTGATTAAAATGTGTGAATCATGATATACATGGAAACAACTAATAAAAGTTAACCGACCGATTGGTGAAACGTCCAATGCTCTGTACGTTTCTGCACGCTTCATTTTGCAGAACTGCATTTACTTATATTCTTTAATAACGCACTTCTGTTATTTCTGTGAAATACCGGGATTGTTCAAACGTCGCTCTCTCAAACCACGTTTTTCCTTACCTCGCGAAATAATTTTTTTTTCTTTTCTTTTTAACGCAAAATGTCCGTCTCTCGATGGAAAAAGTACGTGTTTCGTGACCGAGGAGCATTTGCACATAAATAATATCGATAGAAATACATTCTTACAGCACGAACATTGCAGGTTTTCGAATATTCTACCGTAGCAATCAAAGTATCCGCTATTCCGTGACAACGAATATTTTATTGATAGCATGTTCTATACATATGTTTCGGGTTAAAGCGACTTGTCAAAGGGTCAGCCTAACAAGAGCTGTCAATTCGCGTTTACATAATACTTACGCGGAACATGTACTTGCGTTGCGTCTGCTAGTTAATTGTAACAACCTGCGTTCTACCGAACGCGCCGGGCAAGGAAGGGAAGCGACATCCATAATTTATTGATTTCCCGTGGCGGGAGTTCTCGCGGGGAAAGCTCGACATTCAAATGAGCGTGTGACGTGAAAGAACAACAGTCTCCTTAGGAAATATGGATCCTATTCGAGCCAGTAGCAAGTATGAATATTACAAACTGTGTAGGAAACTTTTGTTACTCACTGGTCTGTGGCCTTATGAGACACTCCGAAGGAGCCTGCTTCACCTTGGTTTTATCATTCTATATGACATTTCTTTTTTCATTGTACAGGTAATATCAATTATCGTTACAAGTAGCGCGAGAATCGACGACGAACGGTCGTTGAAATTTTGGTGTAAAGTGACCGCAGCTTCATGCGCGAATTTAATTCGGCGTACGTTGTTTTTAATCTTTCGGGTGGATATCTCATTGGCTTGGAAAAGTCTTAATCAAAATTAATCTTTCAGACAGCACACTATTTCATATGCGAGACAATACAGTGTATTTTTAAAACTTTACCTATGAATATGATGGCTGTAATACTGTTGGTGAAATTATTCACGTATTATTTTAATAGGCAGAAGGTACATTAGTTCTAATCCACAGGTACAGGTACAAGTAACTTCTGTATGCGAAATGTTCAGCTGAAATTTGACGACGTCAATCTCTTTGTGTAAACATTGAAAATATATTTGCGATATCTTGAATACATTGATGACACTTGCAGATTAAAGGCCTCTTAGAACACTTGCACTCAGATTGGAATACACTCTGTTACGAAGAAGAATTTATTATCATGAAGAAGTACGCTGAAACTGGTAGATTCTACGCGCTTTACTATGCCAGTAAGAATTTCTTATTCAATAAACGTTATAGAAGCACATTTTGCTATTATAAAAGAGATATTATAAAAGAGAATATATTTGATCGTTGTAGAATTTATTTAATGAATAGGAACATCTTCGTTGTTTCGTAATAAAACTGTTTGCAGTAAGCATATACTTGGCTACCGTACTGTTCGCATTTTCGAGTATAACGCCACGTATCATGGACGTTGTGTCTCCTTTGAATGAAAGTCGTCTGATAATAATGCCATGTCCAGCATACTATTTCGTCGACGAGACTGAATATTATTATTATATTTTTGTCCACATGATAATCGGTGCCTTTGTATGCATCACTGGAATAATAGCGCACGATTGTAACTTCTTCGCTTTCGTCGAACACGTTTGCGGCCTCTTCGCCATTGTCGGGTACTGATTTATTATCGAAAGCTTATATATATACCTTGTGACACATGAATGACAATTTTGGTTCTTGCAACATTCGCATAAGTTAATGACGGAAAATGCGCATCGACCTGTTAATATGCACGCTAATGTTTGCAGCTTCAGACTCGAACATTTGTTATATAGACAAAATATTACGGAGAAGAGCCTGATCGATTCTTCGGATGACGTGTATGTCAGAAACATCAAATTTTCCATTCAAGCTCACCGAAATGCTTTGCAGTAAGTAATGCATCGTATTTATAATGCAGCGTATAAATGCTAAAGACGCTTTTAATAAGTACGCTTCGACAATTATAACAAATTCTTACTTATAAGCAATAACAATTGTTCATAACTATCATTATGTTTACAATAGTTTCGTCGACCTTCTCGAAAACACTTTTTACATATCCTTTGCCGCACAAATGCTGATAGTTACAATTGGCATGAGCATATCTTTAATACAAGTGAGTTGTACTCCGAAAAGTAATTATAAACTTATTAAATTATCAAGCTGCAGAATTAAAACATGATTTAATTTTTCTCATGTTTAAGCTCTCGTCAGAATTGCAGGGTGATATAATAGAACTGATTAGATACTTTTTTTTTATCGTTGCTCAACTGGGTCATTTATTCATTTACAGCTACGAGGGACAAAAATTGATAAATCACAGTCTCGAGACAAGTGAGAAACTGTAAGGAGAATTAAACATAAAAATAAGTCAATGATATAAGTTTTCATCAACATATAAAAATTTATTTTTAACAAAAATACTTCTATGAAAACGTAATAATTCTCTGTAAAGACAAACGTGGCATTGTTATACCGTTTCCTTTGTGTATATAACGAGGTGACTTTTTCAGTTATAATGGTTTGTGGTACACAATACCAGTGAAATCGCAACGGCTGCTGTTGTTTGCAATGAGAAAGAACATGGAGCCTAGTATTGTGACCGCTGGCAAAATATATATATTTTGCCTGGAAAGTTTCACTTCGGTAAAGTAATTATCATATACGAGGAATGCTGCAATATAATAAACAAAACAATACGTGTGCCACTTTAAACAATTTTTCAACGTCCCAGGTGTTGCAATGCTCGCTCTCGTACTTTACGGTACTGTCGTCTTTCAACGAATCATGATCGACAGCCGATCTTTCTAGTGACTCGTTTAGTAAAGCAATTTGTATAAATGAGATTACGAGTAATATGAAATAATGGTATCTCGCCAATATAATTGATATGTTTTCTGAATCCGCTTACGGACAAACAGTAATAAATATATTTATTTTATTATTAATATTAAAACATAATTGATAACATTCCCTCAACACTTTGAACACGTGTTAAACATCATATCAGACATCATGGTGCACTTTTAAACGTGAAAATAATCAAAATTTAAAAATTTTCAGTTTCGTTATTTGAGTCTCAACCAAGAAAAGAAAAAAAATACGTATATAGAAGCTAGAACATTTTTATTCAGATTAAATTTAATCCAGACTTGAACCACAATTTACCGGCCTCCAGAAATATAGCCGAGACTCGAACCACAAACATTAAATTGAAATATCATTTTCTCGATTTCACCATTGAATTGAAATATTCTCGATTTCACGTTTACGTATCAGGAGAATAGAATGAGCAAAGAGATATCTGAAATAAATTTAGCCAAGAATCGAACCATGATTTACCGATCTGCACATTTTTTACAGGCTTATTTTTATTTTCAGTCAATACGAATTAACATATTAAGTGGACAATATTGTTTGATAGTTTGATTCATGAGCTCGATGCACCATTATTTTCGATAGAAGAGAAAATGAATAAAGTAAAGTAGGAATGTGACTTGAAGGAACACAAAAGAGAGAAATTTACATTATTACAGATTAGATTATCTCTATTATATATTACATCTGTTAAAAAAAATAGCTTATTTATAAAAATAAATAGATGTAACACGGATACATATTAAATGTCGATTTTATCGGTAACGCCTGAAAATGAGGACGTAGTTTCTGTTGCAAAATAGGTGCAGATGGCGTACCAAACTGTAACGGAAAGCGGTGTCAGTCAAAGTGCCGGAGTGACTATTTTTTGGTATCCCACTGATTATATACGTAAGAAATGGGGGTCGGAGATTTTTGGGGGAAATGTTCCGCTCGAATAGAAAGATTTTGGGATTTGTAAGCGGATTATGCGACTTTCTTGCGGCTCCTTTGTAAACTCTTTCTCGGTCCATCTTGCCTATTGTTACCTGTTCTTTCTGGGACGTCGTAAACTTTTATCGCCTTCGTGACATCAGAGTTTCCTGCCTTCTATTTTCTCCAAGCCGAAGAAAGGTGAGTGTGCAAATATTGCCTGAATGAAAGGTAGTTATTTTAATGAAAGGCTATTGATACCTAAACGACGGGGCGGGCGAACTACTGAAAAGATTATATTCTGTACGCCCTAAGGGATGTCATATCTTCCCATCGCTCGCATTTATATTACTTCGGGCCTGACCAGATTGTTCGCCGACGTTATTAGTCACACCGAGTCTTCCATGCTCCCCAAATTTCGAAAGCTAGTTCTCATGTCTCAACACGTCTCGAGTCTCATATTGCTCGTCCCAAACGATTTATCAATCTATCTCTGTAATATCTGTTTACGCATCAGGTGAATATGTCAGTGACTAAGCAATCTTTCCATGAAAATAAATTATTAATTAATGATAATAATAAATAAAACAGTATCAATGTGCGCAAAATTAATCTCGTTGAAAACTTGGACATGGAAGGTTTCAATCATGTTATATTTCTTTAGTCTACGGAAAGATTTCAATTTATTTACAATACCCCCTCGTCAATAATAAAAGCGCCATTTACTGAGATGACAACCTGATGTTGAAAAATTTAAAGACTGGGTCATAAATCCTTCTACAAAATTTTTTCCGAAATTTTTTTCCAAAATTCGACCGACGTGCCTCTTGTACGGAGATTTTTGCCGAAACGCACGATTTGTACGTGCACATCATCACGCAGACGGTTAAATCGACCGAGAACGAACAAGAACACGCGTCCGTGTCATGAACAGCTCGGGAGCTGTGCAAATTCCTCGTCCGAGATCTTTTTAAAATTCCTTCAGAGTGAGTCTCGCAAGGAGATACGCCCACGAAAGGGCGTACGCGCGCGTCGCATCACGCAGGTAGTGAAATCGATCGAGACAGGCGGCAGGAGCGCGTCCGTATCAAGGATCGCCCTTGAGCGATCGCTCGCGTACAGGATACGTTACTTCCTGCATTCGTGTATTCCCCGTTTCTCTGATATATGGACAGTCGGCCGGGCGACTGAAAAACTACCGGCGTTTGTCGAGCCATCGTCAAGCTGCACTGGATCCCCTGTCCCTCTCTCTTTCTCTCTCCTTTCCTACTCGTGTCTCTTTCCTCCTCGTGCCTTCTGCCTACCTTTTTGTACGAGTTCTATTAAAAAAGTTCGTACAAAACTGGCGATCCTTTGTGGAGGTACACATAGCGCGCGCAACGAGGGTGCCCTCGAGCTCGCGCGCGCGACCGCAAAGGACGACGGGAGAGCGGAAGAGACGAGGACGATCCGCACACACGGTGGGTGCAACGGGCGACGTAAGCGCCTGTTACACAACCGGAAGCGAGTCTACGGGACGGAATAAGAAAGTTCGTGTGGACCAGCTCTCTTCGCTTCGTTTCTGCCTGCGCGTCGATTGATCTTTCTCCCTGCCCCTCTTGCGCCTGCTCCCGAGCTCCCCGCGTCTCTTGCCCTCGATTACGTAATACGAAATTGATACTCGATGTCCCGACAGATGCGTTATGCGCCGCGGGGATTGCGCAACTTTGTTGTTTCAGAAATATTGCTCGACGAGTCGGGCAATGTCTTGAAAATGAGACTTGCTCGGTGCCGATCGAATTTTAACAAAGCACGCGCGAATTTCACGCATTTGTCCGAGTCGTGCGTGCGCGGGTGATCGCTCTTTCTCGCTCGCTCCTTCTCGAGCGCTACGTCGTAGAATTACCATAATTGTACGGCTACTTTGAATAATACCATTACTTTGTACGACGCGCAGCGACATTTAATCGCGCGCGCGATGTGACATTTGACGCGTATGCCGCGGCGAATTTTTCCCGACGCGCGCGCCTTCTACGACGCGACTCCTTCGCGGACGCGTGTCTCGATCCGGGTGTACCGGAACAATCGCGACCTTCGAAATCACGCGTGAATCGGCATATATCGATTCACCGCCGGCCTCCTGCAGACCTATTCTGTAACGAGACTGTCGCTAAAAGGTATAGAACAGGTCTTATCCGTTTCCTTGCAAGTCCGGATAATTAATCTCGGTCACAGCCGAGATAATTTTTTATTTCGTTTATTTATTCGTGTCCGTTTATCTATTGAGTTGGCAACTAAGTGATTGCGGATTTTGTCGACAGATGGATTTTACACTTTCTTTTGTTTCGTTAACGTGTTCGAAGTACCTAACCTATATTTTTTTCTTATCGTTTGGACTTCTACCTTTCATTTAGTACAAAAATTATATCGATTAGTTCTTTAGTTTTGTTTTTATCCCAATTTAAAAATGGAAGAGCAAGACGTGCACTTCAGACATATTTTATTGTATTATTTCCGAAAAGGCAAGAACGCATCGCAAGTACACAAGAAGTTATGTGCCGTGTATGGGAATGAAGCCTTGAAAGAAAGGCAGTGTCAAAATTGGTTTGCCAGATTTCGTTCTGGTGATTTTTCATTGAAAAATGCTCAACGATCTGGCCGTCCAGTTGAAGTCGATGAGACCCATATCAAGGCCATTATCGATTCAGATCGTCATAGCACAACACGTGATATTGCAGAGAAGCTCAATGTATCGCATACATGCATTGAAAAAAGTTTAAAAAAGCAAATTTAAAATTTTGAATTTTCATTCTTATTTAAAATCCGCAATCACTTAGTTGCCAACCCAATATTTCTAATTATATCTAGATGCCTCGAGCCGAAACACAGCACGCATCAGAGATCAAATCTCTGCCGCGATGTTACATTCTTGAAAATCGAGTTAATTTTGGTTCAACAACGATTCTCCTTCTCCAGCTAAATTAATCTCGCTTCTCTCTCCCGAAAGTATCTCAGATTAAAACTTCTCGAGTTATGCAACGCTCGTTTCCCCCCCCCCCCCCTCCCCCAGAGCATTCCTCCTGTAGACGGTGCAAAGAGAAACGCCGGGAGCACGTAGTAGACGGAGAGAAAGAGAGAGAGAGAGAGAGAGAGAGAGAGAGAGGGGGGGGGAGATACGAGTACGAGAAACTTGTCCATTATGCGATTCCTCGGGATAATACCGTTGCGTACTGCAATTACGTAGCGCAGGGCGACATTTAATCCTAGTACGACGTGACATTTCATGCGCCCGCCGTCGCCGCCGCCGTTGCCGCCGTCGTCTCAGCGGCGAAATTTTTTCTCCCTCAAGGGGAAACGCTCTCCATCGCCAGCGCTCTCTGCCCCTCTCATCGCACGTAACAGATGTAGTGAAATTGGCGGTCGTCCTCACGGCCAATACTCGGAGAGATTTGTCAGATCCAGTGGACTCGATAACGAACTTTCTCCGGGGAGGGGGAGGGGAGGAGGGAGAGGGAGGGAAAACACAACGGCCGGCGGGACAAGTGGCGGATAATAGGACCCGGCTTAAAAGAAAGGTGCTTTTGCGCTTTTCCTGGCCGAGTCGCCTATGCCGGTCGCCAGGTAAAAGTGGACGATTTAAGGTCTCCATTTTGTCATTCGCTCTAACGACTCTATTCTCTCTCCCTGTGCCTTTCACCCGACGCAACGGTGGCTTCCCGACGAAGGGTTGGTCATAAAGAGCTTACAGCGCGGTGGACATTTCCCCGAGAAGCGGCGCGTCTCGTAGACAGGGGCTTTGGCGCGAGGCGACATGAAAACGTGCGTTGATCTCCCTGAAGATCCTTCCCCGGTGTTCTTCCGAGTCCCTTCATGATCCGATAGACTGATCGCTATCTAAATCGCTGTTGGACGACGAGACACAAGTCCGAAATAAACGGCACATTGTCTCTCTCCGACGGTCTCTCTCTTCTCTCTTGCTCGCTCGCTCGTCCGCTCCCACCCTCATCGGGCCGGCGCGCGATTGGTATCGAGAGCGGGGCTGACGTCGCGGAAGGACGCAAAATTTACTTCACTCTCGATATAAGTAACGACCTTGGCGGAGGTGCGCGCGGCCGGTCAGGCGGGTGCACTTCGACATCGGAGGC